ATATTTTGTATGATATTTGCATTTTATGGAGTTTTGCATTTTTTATCAATAAACACCAGTTGGTATATATTTTCCGGCTGGCTTTCTTTGGAGAACAAGATATGGACATTGCATTTTGTAAATCTCTCATGCTGATGTGTATTTTTCCTGGGCAATTTTCATGGAAGTATTGCTGCACTCTGCACAGCAGGAGTATTGTTGCACTCTGCTCAACACAAACTGGCTCTGTATCCGTTTCAAATATCTTGTACCTATGTGAGAGATAAAGGGATTTGGCTCTGAAGCCTCAGGAATCACAGAGGTCATGAGTTCTTTTCTAACTCGTGGTCTTTGCGTAGAAGTGCTATCAGTGATACAATGCTGTATCGGGGAAGGAGCTGATGGTAAAAAGGAATGACTACATACAGTCCTATTATGTGAACCAGCACAGGTGTCACATTAATGATGCAAATTATGTAATCTTTGTCAGTTGCATCATGATATCAATGATGTAACAGTGTATCATTTGTGGCATTTCCATGAAGAGTTCAATCTCTCCAATCTTTAAAAGCGGTTTGAAGATGAGCCACTATTGTCTCCTTTAATGCCAGCCATTCATGGTTAAGAACAAGGAACAAAAAACCACACAGGCACTCATGTAAACTAATGTTAATCCCATGCTGTAGGAATAGATGGGAGTTGGAGAGTACATGAATTCAGAGAGATCAATTTTATAATATGACTTAGTATTAAGATTCATATATTGCAGGTACAGGAAGGGCCAGGCAAGTGAAAATATTAATAACCTTTCAGCGTAGCCCAGGCGGTATCCCCAAATTTAACATTATGGGACTGACTGCAACCATCCTGTTAGGACTGGTGCATTTCTAATGGTGACTTAATAAAGGTGTTAAGGTTTGTCACGTATTCAGCTGCTACTAATGCAGCTTAGCATTACTGATAAAAGGGTTTATCACTATAATTCAAGAGTGTTATCAAGATGCAGATGTAAAATATCTAGAGTGATCTTATTCACTGACCATATGACTACTAAGACTTAAATTCAAAACAAATGTTGAAAGCAGGCAATAGAACAATTTAATTTATTATAGACGCCCACTTTATTAGACTCGGTGGCTTACAAAATCCAGAAACAGTAAGAACAATTAAACACACCCAAGTGAAAAACAACCAACCCAATACACTTTACACAAATACATCAAATAAACACATTAACCCCCGTGTAAACCTGATCTCACTTCTACATTAACAACATTCTGGAAACTGGTTAAAATAATCCTTTGCAGAACATCCTTCAGTGTCTCATTCTCCTTGCCATGTGTATAAATTAAACTTTTTAACTCTTATTTTTTTAACTCATTTTTTTTGACATCTGGATATTAATCTAATGCAGTGTTTCTCAACCTTGGCAACTTTAAGATGTGTGGACTTCAGCTCCCAGAATTCCCCAGCCATCTTAAAGTTGCTAAGGTTGAGAAACACTGGTCTAATGTTTTTATTGTTATAAACTGCTATGAACTCTGAAGAGTGAATTATAAATGCTTCCCAGAAATATTTGAAACATGGAATATTAGGATGCCATTTATAAATGAGGAAGGAAAATGGATTGCAGGGAAAGAAAAAAATTGTCTGCTTAAAACCTGCCAATTCTTAGTAAGTATCCTAGAAGTGAGTATTTGTGATACATGTTCTTGGATTTAAAAACCCCTTCCCTGTTTTGTATATTGATGTTTCAGAAGAAGGAAAGGAAAAATGACACTGTTCTTACTCTTCTGAAACATTAACCTGGCAATATGACTATACTGTACATTTCTTAGGTGTGGAATGCCAGATGCAAGCCCCTAGTACTATATATTTATTTATTCAATTAATATACCACCAAACAGAAGAACCTGCATTTGGGCTACTAGCAGTTATGTTCAAATGCCTTATTATCAGTGCTCTGGCCACAGTACAAACTTGGTGGAGTGAAATTTGTGGTTGAAGTGGGTTCAACTCTACTCTGCCTATGCACTAAAAGCTAACTCGCATGGCCAGTACTAATCCAGCATGCTTTAAATAGCATGATCCATATCCTAAGGAACTTGTCGCTGAATCTACCTAGTTTCTCCTTCTTTACCGTGACCTCAAATCTGCCTGAATTTTGACTTGCATCTGCCCCTTTGGTCTGCTTTGGAGCCTGACTCCTACTGATCTTACAAGGGACCCACTTGGACTAATAGCCAATCTCCCACTGGATTCTGGGGACTGACCCCAGTGAAGCCTAACATACACATCATCACTGACTTGTAATAAACATACAGTGAGTTGATATGATTATGTGATCCTAAACTTCTTAAAGTGGTAAAATACAGTTGCAAGTAATAGATAATTGCCAAATCAAAGATGCTTAAGAAATCCACACTGATTGTTATATCCATTAAGTTGAACTTTAAAAAGTAAAATGTATCTGAGATGAATTCAACATTACATGTAAGAATGAAGATGAGTTTCCAATGATAGTTATAGAATTGTAATGGTGGGCAACTTTTATTAACACTGTGATAAAAAAAAGTCCTTTTCTCTCATTACAACATAACCATAAAGTTCATTCTTCATCATTCTACTATACCACTTAAGTTTCCATTTTTTAACTATTGCATTGACAGTATTTCTGGAGTTGCTCCATGAAGCCAGAATTTGGACAAATAGCAGGTCTTACATTTTTCACCACAGAAAAAGCCTTGGCAAAATTGAGTCCTTCTGAGTGCATTAGGAACCCTATGATAATTGCTGCTGCCCGGGAAACTCCTGCATTACAGTGAACAAGCACAACACCATCCTTTGAAAAAAGAAAAGAAAAACACATTGAAGCAATCATTTTCCATAAAAATGGAGCCATAGACATTTTCTTTTATCACATAGGCATTTTAAGCAAGCCGCCTACAAAGTCATCAGAAATATAACTTACTATATACATATTCCTTTTCGTACATATATTTATTTCTACTAGAATCCCTGTGGGCTGCATAGATTTTGCTATATTCAATATTTTCCCCCCTCAGTATTTAGTCAGTGCTGTCACTTTCAGGAGTACTCATCTGTTGAGAAAAGATGGCTAACGGGGAACTGAGAATCAGTGCTTCTCTTTCCAAACAGATGATCATGATTTCCTATTATTTATTTTTCTCCTCCTTAGAAGCAAGACATTTCAGGGTTTTCAGCACACCACCATAAATGTAAGATTTAGCTGGAGACTGATGGCATGGCTGTGTTACTACAGACAAGCCATCTGTTTATGCCAACAAGCACATTTAAGGGTCTGCCATGCATACTTATTTCTGATGGTGGTCTGATCTGCCATGGGGGCATAACTAAGCACCAAAGATCCATTTTATTAGGATGTCATGTTTCAATAAATCAACCTGAAAGTCAAAATGAACGCTTGTTGAATGTAGCAAAAACAATATGTAATGTAAAATCAGAATTGGTAATTCTGTTTTTTTTCTGCTGTATATTAGAAGAAAATGGAGATTTGAGGACATAAGCCTGGTGGTCAAATAGGTTTAGGATTACATTTAAAACAGATAATTAACTCAAAGCCCTAAGAATTAAACTTACAATTAAAATTACATGATGCATTTTTTGTGATCCCATCCCTCAAATCTGTATAGCTATGTGCAACAACAACACCAAAAACCTCTGGAAAAAAATAATTTGGCAAACTTCTATATTTGAGACTTAGATCTCAGAAGCCTATTGCATTCATGGAAATATAGAAAAATGTGTTCTGTTGCAGGTTTGTTTGCTTTAATGAGGCAATTTGTGATCTCATACTGTATTCATTTCTCCTGCTTTGCCTGGCGGGGCGCCTTCATGTGATGTGAATAAATTATTCCCATCACGTTTTTGTCTGTGTAATAAAAACATTTTGTATTATGAAGTACCAGAAATATCAGGAAAGATTGTAAAAGCAGTCTTGAGCATCAGAAGCTAACTGAAAAATTAAAACTTCTGAGGCAGAGCACTGATACCAGGATCCTAGAATGGCCAATCTAATTTAGTACTGAAGTGGAAACGGTAACTGGAAACCTTCAGGAGAGCATGAAATGAAGACACGTTTCAGGTAACTTGTAAACAATACACCACATTCTTTTTTCTAAATAACACAAAGCGTAATGGAGCAAAGTTATTTTCCTTTCTTTCAAACTGTGTAAACAATGAACATGACAGAACTCAAGCACCTGGAGTCAGGTTTGAAAAAGTAAAGATACTATCAGGCTGTAACATCAAATGAACAAGTTATATGACATAGATCAGACACCAATGTCATTATACAATCAGTTAGGTATAGAAGCGCTGTATCTTAATAAAATAATTTTTCTAATATGTTTTATTTTTTACCAGTTATATATGCAAGGCAAAATCCTAGTCATGTATATGAAATCTAAATGTTTCCTGTTCAGTTCGGCGCCACAGTTCAGTATAGAGCTAAATGCAGTCAGTCTCTAAAACCAATGCACTTCAAGGGGGCCCATTTGATGCTGATTTCCAGTATACAAGCGCCTTCCACTTCTTTCAGGTCTGCAAGACTTAAAGTACATTATTAAGCTTTACACTGAAATGATTATCTTGATTGGAGAAAATTACTGAAGGAGATAACATCCCTGCCAAGGAAATATACAATGTATATATGTGTATACATATAGCCTGTGGTTTACGTTAATTTACGTTGATTTACCACTTGAGCTGAGGTTTAAAGTTTCATTCAGATAAGGATGGGAATAAATAGCCATTTCCAGTCTCAAGATACTTTAACTAACCTTAGTATGGAAGTGTCTTAAGGAGACTCACAACTAATCAATGCCAAAAATGGATGCTTGTTTGGTTTCCCCGCCACATACACACGTACGCATACTGCTATGCACCACTCCCTTGCGACAACCACACATTACAACTATTTACCTTTAACTTGATTTGTTCAATAAATTCAAAACATTCAGGGAAATAGGAGGTGATGTCAGTCTCAGGCAGGTCAAGAATAGGGATAGTTTTATATGTAAAGTCATGGAGGAAGGCATTTCCGACTCCATAAGCTACATTTAGAACATGGGTAACCTAAAACAGAGAAGATATACAATCAAGACAGTACTTCCACTTCTTCCATTCATCAGCATCACAACATCAGAGCAGCACCTTCACTCAGATCTATTAAATTTTTACTCTTTCTCTTAGTTTCACAAATACAGTTCCATTTTTCTACTTCATTTCATTCATTAGTTCATGTTAGTTTCTCCTGTTGCATTCCAAGTCACAATCTTTGCATACCATGATCATTACCAATTAGGGCCATAGATATTCACTTCTCACGGCTTTGGTCATTTGAGGCTTTCACATAACATATTTTAATAAGATAAATAAGGTATAGACTAGGTTATCATCCTTAGCCCATATATAGGCAAGATACCAGACTAAGGGCAAAAAAAAAAGTTCATTCAAATGTAGCCAACTTTCTATTACCAAAACTGCAGAACTGTATTAATGTTAACTAAGTTGCAACAGCTTTTTTAAAAAACACATATGTTACCCTATATTTTTTCATTGTCTCCAGGTCATGAGCAGCATCTTGTGAACCTGTGAAAGAGAGATGTTACCCCATAAATTTGGAGAAATAATTACATACTGACAAGAAGGCTGAATACTGTATATAATTCTGCTGAAATTAAGGAAATTGTTGTTACACACATGCATACTACAGGCACACACATGTACTATGTACATGTACATTCTACATACCTACAAGACATGAATGCAGCCAAGGGGAAAAACCCCTTCTATGGATTAGACCCAGATTAAATTAGCCATGCGAGTTATTACTAACTGAAGATCTACAGATTTCATTATTGCAGCTAATCTTATGTCTTGAAACCAACACAAAAGTAGAATTACTGCATTATTATTATTATTATTATTATTATTATTGTATTATACTATCATTATGATCCCAACTCAATCCACTGCAGGATGAAGGCCTCTTCATTGAATGTTATGGATGGTAATATACTATGCTGGCCCAGTATGGATTAGTAGACAGTTATTTTTTGATGTCCTAGTCTAGGGCTGAGACAGAGGAACGAAGGCCCCAAGACACCCAGCCAGCTTCCATGCCTAAGGGAGGACAAGAACCTAGACCAGCACCTTAACCACTGTACCATACTGTCTGTCTGTCTTTCTCTCTCTCTACACACACACACACACACACACAGAAAGAAAGAGAGAGAGAGTTGTTTTCCAGTTCACACAGGTATGCATTAGTTGCTCAACTATTAAAGCTGCTTTGGCTGAAAACGACATACCCAGCAACAGCCACGGCTTAATCACCCCAACTTGAAGATCCAGGCTCAGGTCCTGCACATAACCACAGGCCTCCCCCTCATTACCATCAGCTACTTCCACCACTTGCATCTGGGCATCCCTCCAGGTCTCGATAAGTCTCTTCCCAGATAAAGTTGTGACTCTGGTGCATTGCTTTTTCAAATTAGTCCTGGAGAAGGATTTGATTTCTTGGGTGAGTGAGTGCATCACATGAGAAAAGAAGCCTTCAAGTGCGACGGCGAGGAGAAGCTTATTTGCATTTGGTTTCTTCTTTTTACGAGCAGATCTGCCTTAGTCTTTCAGCTTTGCCTGAACTATCCGCATCCCTCCTCAGAGAGACTCCAAGCAAAATTGGCAAGCAGCACAGAAGCCTTGCATGTCAAGCTTCCTTTATCTCAGACGACCATGTAAAAGAGTTTTGGATTGGCTACAGAGAAGCCTTTCTGGATTGGTTGAGAGCACTTTCCTGTTAAATAGCATGAAATCTCCAGGGTTGCTGAAACAGTTTACAGAGGCGCGCATGCTCTGCTCTGCTCCACTCTCACTTTCATCTTGTTTTGTGCGTATGCGTTCTGACCAGGCATAAGAAATGGTAAGAAAACAAATAGATGAGAGAAGAAAGGAAAATATAGCTACATCTGGTTTACACAAACACCACGCCCTACACCTCACCATATTCTTTTATCCCCGGAAGCCATCCTTGTTTCCAACCACATCCATACACCCGGGGGGGGGGGGTGTCTCCAAATTTGGCAACAACCAGTGCTGATGGCAAGAGCTCCTCCTCCTTCTTCGGCTTGGCCAGCCAGCTGAACTGTCTTCCTTGGTGTCACTAAATGAGGAACTAGACCATGCCTGTGTCCAAACTGCAGCAGTACACACCCCAACAGATGCCCTGGCTGTAGAGGAGACGACCATGGGGCACGGGCAGCAAGAGTGCAGAGGGGCTGCTGCTGGGGATGATGAGCTCTCTGCTCACCAGGGGCTGCTGGGCTGCTCTCTGTTCCCTACAGAAGAGGAAGACTTTAACCGAACCAGTTAGGTAGCAGCCCTGAATGCATTACTTCATATACTGTACACTTCTTACCAATTTCTTCTTGAGGATCTCATCAGCTTCATCCAACTTGGCTCAACACTTCCACTCTTCCATCATAGAATTGTTTTGGAATTCAATCCCCATTTGTTTAGCATCCATCCAGTCTTGATTCTGATCTCTTCTTATTTTAATACACACACTTCTGAGACCCCCGTTTCCACTGCATTAACTTAAGTTTAGGCTTCTCTTGACCCAGCATTCAGTTCTATACAACACACTCTAATACACAGCTATTTTTGCTTCTTTCAACACTCACAGACTATATCATTACTCACTATCACTACCTTCATCTATTCTTTCAGTGATCTTCTGAAGAGCAATAATCTGGCCCCACACACCCTACACCTGTCCTAAAGCCACATTGCACTTCCCAAATTTTGTTCATTGTTACTTCTTTTATCCTTTTAATTAGAAGTCTGCCAAACACCTTCCCAGGCACACTTAAACTAATTTCTGCATAGTTTTTGCTTAACTCTTGCTACCTTTCCTTTCCAGGCATCAGACACAGATTACACTCTTCACACATATACACACATTAAAAGCAAACCACATCCATGCTTCAACATTTCTTTAGTTATATCATCAGTACCTGCAGCTTTTTCATTTTTCAACATTACCACAACATTTATGTTCTCCATGCGTGTGTGTATGTGTGTGTGTTTTCTGCCCTTTGGACATCAACATTGATTAGCATTTGTTTCAATTCCACTCTTCAAATTTCCACTTTCATTCCCATTGAGATCTCTAAAATGTGCCTTCCAACATTCCATCATTTCAGTTTCAATTCCTCACTTTTATTTCTTTGTGTCAAGTAAAACACACACAAACTACAAAACTGAATACACATTTAAGGGAGAGAAAACACAGTCAAATAATCTTCAAAAAGCAGAGGCAAAAAGGAAGACAGTGCATATAACCATGACAATGTACATAATGCCTACAGAATAAAATATTCTTGGAGTAGAAAAATAACTGGTTAGGTTACAGCTGGTCACAAGATCAGAACAATACTAGATAAGAAGTAAAAAATGGCAATAAAATGTCCCTGACACTGAAGGAAAACAAGTCCTTCCTGAATTTGATTGTAGAAGGCATGTTTAGGAATGTATTTCCCTTTCTGTCATTGGACTCCAGCACCTCCAGTGCTCTCTAGGACACTCTCATTATAACAATATGTATATGAGATACTCAGTTCAAAAACACACTCTTTTAACCCTTTATAATCTACCCAGTGGAGTAGTGCATGCTACCAGTAGATGTATGTTTTGCTTTTAAATGGAGACTATAGAAATAATTGGACAAATCTTTGGATTCTGGAAGTACACAAGTCTGAGTAATAAATTAAAAATAAATAACTTGGACAAAACTTGCTAATTTGGGAATGAAATGTTTTGGAACATTCTATTCCTCCTCCAGGCCATGTCAAAATCCTGCAGACTGAGCCATTCCAAAGAGTAGTATGGCAGTTTCTGGAGGTCAGATCTCCAAACGAGATGTGGTTCAAAGTGTCCTCCTGGAATGGCATGGTCTGGAGAAGGTTCGGCATGGCCTGGATAGGGAATAGAATTCTCTGGAGTATTCTATTCCTAAATCAGTGAGTTTTGCACATCCCTAGTAAAAATGCATAAAATAAGGATCTCCTAAGATTTTTAATGAAAAACATAGACTGCATTTTAAAGACTAGATTTTTATGAAAAATATAGACCAGATTGTTGAATGAGACAGATGTATTTCAAAAGATGAGCGGATAGCAGTTGTTTTACTATATATGTGTCTAATTCTGAGTATCACCATTTAAAATGGATTGGCAAACTAAAATGAGTCTAGTGGAGGACAAAAAAATTAGTGAGGTTCCGGAATACATGTGTTTCATTCTGGAGGCAATTGGTAAGACATAAAAGAGGACATTGATCTGTGAGGTTATATCCAGCGGGAATTTGAAAGTCTATAAAATTGCTTTCCAATAAAAGGCTCCAAGTAACACTATGCAAAATATATTGTATAACTACAATCTTTGCCTCCTCTAAGGATTTTTTATGGTAAGAAAAAAGGATGGAAGAAAGAGTGAGAAATAATGAACAAGGAAGGACAATTGTGCATTAAAGCCTTATCTGGAAGCGTTTCATACAGATAGCTCTACTTAACTGTTGATTGATTTTTTAGTTTGTATGCCAGCAGGGAGCATTTGTGGCTTTTCTACAGAACCTGAAGGCAAGACAAATGTTATCTGCTTCCTCTCTGTTTTGAAGATTTGATCTGAACAGATCATGTTCCTACATCAGAAGAACCTGCATACAGCACAGGTAAAGAACTAAATCCAGTCTGAGAGCCAGGTCAAAAACTGTTCTTTTCCCACCTTCTCAAGCAGGTCCGGGAGGTGAAGAAGAGGAAGTTTCTTGCTTAATTTCACCCTTTAATGTCATAAGAACTGAATAATGGCCTTACTGGATTAGGCCAGTGGGGTTTTTTTTCCCCCTCCCAGTGGCCTAGTCAACCCACATGGAATTATTCATCCTCCTGAGGTGCAAGTAAAGCACAAAAAGATTGCCAGCAGTAGCAGGAACGAGAGGTCAGTGGTTTGTGGGAGAAGTTGGGCTTTTCTTGAGATCCCACCAACCTCAGTTTCCAATCCTTAAGATTCACAGCATCCTTCTGATTGGACAGAAAAAGGTAGCTGCTATATATCTTTGTATTTACTAACATTTTTTCTGGGAAGTAATCATGCTTGTGAGACAATGCCCCTTAAGACATGACAAATGGTAAGTCTTCATCAAGACCAGGCTAGTTCATATTTCATCAAATGGAGATGAGTGATATCTGTGTGTATTCTAGGAAGCCTGCACAAATGTCTCCATTGATTATCCTGCCTTGGCTATAACAGCTTTTTAAAAATACTTTGTGGAAGATCAGTCAGTACAATAGTTAATATTTTCAGCTGTGTCTCTTTTATATTTCGTTTAGATTAGTGGACATATGTCAGCAATGCTTAGATGCAAATCGGTCCTAAACTGAGCAATCCATGGGACTTCCCTCTCAGGTAGCACTCTGTGCTACCTAAGCAAGGTGAAAATCTGTGTCTGCACAGATAGCTTTTGTAAAAAGGCTTCAGAAGCAAGCAAGGAGTGTGTGCCTGTAAAGCCACAATCATAACCACAAAAAATTTAAGATGAGTGGTTTCTATGCTCTCTCCCATGAACATCTGTTTGTCTGCTGTAAACACACACAGCTGCTCTATAATCAGAACACACAGGCTGGGTGGGAAGGAAAAATTGCATAGTCTGTGAAATCTGGGTTGATATTTTATGGCTTTAATCTTTGAAGGTGGGAGTAGTAAATTCATTTTAGAGAACTTTGTAAAAATTAGCTAATTGGACCTCAGCACACAGAAAGATCACACTCAAGGGAGAAACGTTCAGGGATGTCTGGAGGTTTGAATTATCCTTCAAATGAATGCTTTACTAAGTAAAAAAACATAATTTTTCAGGTGCAGAAAAAATGCAAATGATTAGTAAGTTTATTGTTGTCTTAACAAGGTAACATAGCATAAAATTCAATGAAATGAAATAACAACAAAATAAAATAATAAAGAGTATTGGATGGAAAGAGATTAAAACAAAATAAAACCAGAACTATGATTATGAGTGCAAATATTTCTTTCGAAGTTTAAATGACAACAAAGCAAAGATAGCAACCTGACTACTAATAGTAGGAAACACATCTGCAAAAAAATAATTCAATCGTTCAAAGTCTGAGCCCTTGAATTCACTTACCATCAATAATAAAGCCCTGATCTCATCATAAATGGAACAGTGGTGGACTTAGTGCATAATGTTCTCCACTTGACCAACACCACGAGGACAGAAACACTCTTGAACAAGGCGCTTACAAATCTCCTTCAAGATATGCTGAAGACTTGGTCTGCAAGCAAAGGGACATAAAAACCTTCCTCAGTGGGGCACTGGTAGTATTAACCAGATACTGGGAGAGGCTTCTGTGTTTTTTATAATGCTGAAACCAAGGTGAAAATTTGGATGACTCTACTGCAGTTGCACCTTTATTGGCACCCCACCTCTAATATTTTCTCTGTTCCAAGGGCTAAGTTCCCCCAAAGTGGGTAGGGAATACATTTGTAGGTTAGGTGACAAACATCTGGTCATGGATTCCCAGCTGTGCAATAAAAAAACAAGGTTTGGCAAGGTGGTATTCTCGAAGGGTTTCTAATTTATTTATTTATTTATTATCAAACTTGTATGCCCCCCATCTCCCCCAACGGGTGACTCTGGGCGACTAACAATAATAAAAAAGAAAAAAC